CACGCAATAATTACGTCAGTTTTATTTATTCATGCATTTATATATATATTTATTTACTTATTTATTTATTTGTTTATTTATTTATTTATTCTGAATTCAACTAGTTGTTCTCTCGCAATGCTCAGGTTTATGCAGGCGGTCGGTGCGGCGGTGGACCACCTCGACAATCTACAGCTGGAGTTGGAACCGCTGCTGTGTACACTGGGAAAAACGCACACGAACTACAAAGACCTAGGTTTCGCACCGGACTTCTTCGACGAATTCACGGCGGCCATTATACAGACGTGGCAGAGGAAACTCGGCAAGCGATTCGCAGCGGACGTTTGCGCCGCCTGGTTGAACATGCTGTCGTTTGTAGCGGCGTGTATGAAGTGTGGCTATAGAAAGACAGCGACGACGATTGGGTATGAAAACTGTCATGAGAATGTGCAACTGAATAGCAAGCAGGTCTTTAATGCCGGTATGGTAAATCTCGGTCGCACATGAATAGAGATAGATAGACGAGTAGCCTGTTAAGTATTATTAGCTCTTGATTATATTGCCAAATGCACGCATTTCAATCAGCTACGCCAAAAGCTCACATTAATAACTAACTTATGGACCGAAAACCCATATATCCCCATCTGCGTAGGGGAGATTCTATGGAACAGATTCTGTGCCGCAATTATACGCGTCTCTACGGCATCATATAATGATTCCGCATTAGCTGCACATGCGAAACACATTAATGAACCACCAATCTATGCCTCGTATTGATAGTTATTATAATTATGGCGCTGCAAAACTCGCAATAGAGCTATAGTGCTATATATAGGCGGATTACTTAGAGACCATGAGTTCGTATATCTCTCTGGAGAGGGATAGATGGTGACGAGTTTTGATCATCTATTCTGGTATACTAATTAATACTGAGCACACTGTATGAATGTGAACGCTCTAAAAACGATCTTAGAATGTTGGAAATGACAAAATTTTGCCGTTAAAATAACAAGGTTTTCAGCAGGGAGGCTCCTTGGTCCAACGAATCTATTCTCCTCGGTGCGTGAATCTAATACTAACGCCTACGCGCTTACTCACCTACACGACTACACGCATATAATACTCGCCTACATACATAATACTCGCCTACATTTTTCAGACGAATTTCACTAGAATTTTCAGACAAGGGGGTCGTGGGATTAGTGTTAAATATTTTAGTATAAATAGCTTCAGATGTATCAGCAGACATATCTGCGGTTATCTAACTCCTGGTAGTGTTGTATTCTAGAATAGTTCTAGCATAGTTTTCCTGACCCATCAGGAGATAAATGATTACCTGTCATTATAGTATGCATAATGATGGATCAACATGTCCCACCTATGTTCAATCTTCAATTGAAGAGCCGCTCTACCAGTCTCAATCCCTATAGTTCTGGAGGCCGTTGCCAGAAACAAAATTAGCATTAACATTGAAATTAAAACATTACATTAAACATCAAAACATTAACCATTAAAAGTAGCTAACGATGTTTCTGACAACGGCCCCCTGGTTTCGTAATTATCATATCGCTATGAGAAACAGCTCCCGTTATATCTGTTAGTTCTAGAAAGTTATAGGAAATGTGCGAATGGCTACTCCGATCACCAACACAGCTCGCAATGATACCTTCCGTTAAGGAAGTCATTCAATCCCAAAGTTCAAGCGCCTTAACACCGAGTTCCGTTGCCGAGTAAATTACTGTTTAACGACAGGAACTCATCACTCACCAGCGAGTGGCGAGTACGGTGAACTTTCTGTCAATATATTAAGTAGGCATACGCATTATAGTATATTATATAGTAAGACATATACATTATACATATACATTATATATATATCAGAAGTAGATAATAGAAGATTCCCTATTATCTACTTCTGATATATTGCTGCGTTCACACGAGGAGTTTAGTTGCGTTCACACGCTAAAATATACGCGGCTTGCTTAGCCGCGATTGCTCCGGCTTGCTTAGCGCGGAATCATATTCCGCGCCAACTAAGCCGCGTATATTCGGCACCACGCTGGGCGCGTATTGATTGTCGTGTGAAACTAGACTGTTACCCGTTCGCTGCACGACGTTAGGGTAGCGTGTGGAACTGTCGACCGGGTACCAGTCTATATTATACCTAGCTAGCTAAGCCTAAAATCTCGTGTAGCTCGTGTGAACGCATTTTATCCCGAACTTAGCACCAACTAAGTACGGTACCAGCTAAGCCGTGTATACGTGTGAACGCAGCTATATATATATATATATATATATATATATATATATATATATATATATATATGGCCCTATATTATATATAACGCACCGTACAGCAGGTTGCGGTAAACAGCTTACATAATCAGGTTGCCACTTTTAGAGATTCCTATATTATTATTATTATTATTAAATCTTTATTACATGAATTCAGATACAAATACATGTACTGACGACAATTTTTTAATGGAGAAAAAATCTGATAAAAGCAATAGTGTTGAGTAGTTAAAATGATAAAATTTCTGACGGATACAGTACAATTACAATGCTATACCACATGAAAAAAAAAAAAAAACTTCAGCATATTCTGTACTAGTAAAGTGATTAAGACAACATGAAGAAAACATAGATACCAGAAAAAAACTTCAGCAGTCTATACAAGTATAGTGATTAAGGTACACTTTAACATCATTTTGGCACTCATACGTACACCATTATATACATATTACCAAGAGTGCATAATAGAGCATATATCTCTATTATGCACTCTTGATATTACACAAACATACGCACACATACACACACTTATATTTATATAAATATGGACATACTGATAAATGAAATAGTGTTGAGCAGTTAAAGTGATAGATTTTCTGAGTGATACAGTACAAAACAGTGCATACAACATCAAAAAAAAATAAAAACTAGAAAAAAAGCTTCAGCAATGTCTGTACAAGTAAAGTAATTAAGGTACACTTTAACATCTTTTGATAATCATATACGTACACCATTATATACATATGACATACATTACATATTCCATACATATACGCGCACACACACACACACGCACACTTACATTTAAATAAATATAAACACACTGATAAATGCAAGTGTTGAGTAGTTAAAATGATAAATTTTTTGAGTGATACAGTACAAAACAGTGCGTACAACATGAAGAAAAAATAGAAACCAGGAAAAAAACTTCAGCAAAGTCTGTACAAGTAAAGTGAAAGACAACATGAAGAAAAAATTGATACCAGAAAAAAACTTCAGTAAAGTCTTTACAAGCAAAGTGATTAAGGTACCATATCGACACTCATACGTACACCATTACATACATTACTTATTACATATACGCACACAGACACACACATTTATATAAATATAGACACATATTCATTCAGAATGCAACATTGTTCTCCTATCTGCTATATGTTGTTAAAATTGTATTTTTTAACATTTTCTTAAATGGGCGAAGTGAAGGCTTTCTTTTTGTGTCTATTGGTAGTTTATTCCATTGGTTTATTGCCTCCTTAGTGAGTGAGTTGTGTCCATACATATTACTTGTTGTTATTTGTTTTAATTTAAGTGTCCTTGAATTTAATGTAATATTTGTCAGGTAAGATAAGGGATTATTTCTAAGTGGTTTGTTTAGATGGTGGATGTATTTGTATATAAATATAAGTATGTGGTATTTAATTAGGTATTCGATTGGAGGTACTTTTAGTTCCTCTCTAGTTCTAGTAGCTGCTCCTGTCTGTCTCTGTGATGTAGCGTTTTTGTGGGAATAACCTGTTATAATATGCGTAGAGCATAATTCTGTAGTGTGTTTAGTCTATCTAAAGCTGATTTGGGGAGATTTATAAACAGAGTATTTCCACATATGAGATGCGACAGGCAGAGTGACGAGTATATTTGCAGCTATATGTTTGTGTGTAGTTGACCCCGTATCTGTCTGAGGAAGCTAATACTTGTACTCATCTTGTCTACTATGTAGTCAGTATGCAGGGGCGTGTACAGGGGGGAACGCAGAAAACGCATCTAAGGGGGTCTAATTTCAAAATTTTTCTGGGGGAGGGCCCTCCGGACCACCCCTTCGCGTGCTTGCAAGTTTGGGTTACGGTTAGACCCCCACCCCCTGGTACAAATCCTGTACACGCCCCTGGTATGGTCATTCCACGTTAAATGCTGATCTATATACATACCTAACGATTTTTACTGTTCTCGATTGTGGTATCGAGTTGTTACTTATTTCCAACTCAATTTTGTTAGTGTCCACAATTTTATTACTGTTGGGGCAAAATAGCATGAATTCTGTTTTGTCTGGGTTCATTTGTAAATTATGGTAATCGAATACCTGTTTTCCACATTTATTTGCAGTGTATTAACAGCTTCATTTGGATCTGAATTTGTAGCATATATACATGTATCGTCAGCATATTGTGTCAGTTCACATTTTTCGAGTATGTTTGGTATATTGTTGATGTATATGCAGAATAGTAACGGTCCCAGTAATGTACCTTGCGGGACTCCTCTAACAATAGCCCCCCATTCTGATGTGGTGTTGTTAATTTGCACTCTCTGTTTTCTGTCTGTTAAGTATTTATCAATCAGTGTTGTAGAGTATGTGTCAAATCCTATTTCTTTTAGTTTTTGAAGCAATGTTTTGTGGGATAAATATATCACACTACAGAGCCTACAACGTGCCGAGTGCATAGAAATGAACTAAGCTGTGCTATTTGTGGCGATTTTATCTAGAGGGCATATACATGCTCATACACTCATTTGGTTCTGTCAGTAAATATTTATAATATGTATATTATTAATTAACAACTTATTATATTATTAAATAAACAGCGAAATAAAAACTATGAAACAAGTTGTGGTTTTCTGTTTATGATTAAACTGTTTTGTTCTACATGCTGTTTGCCATTCCATTCGACATGAACAAACACTCGTGATGCAAGCACTTCACATAAGAACCGCTATCCCGCCCAATTCACTAATATCCGTACAAGAATGATATCCCCTAAACCTTTCAATGTTTAACTAGTTCAAACATATTTTAACAGGTACAAGTTCGGTGGATATATCTATCTATCTATCTATATATATATCTATATATATATATATAGGTAATGATACTATTAAAGAAACCAATTGTTTTTGTATTACATCCTATAAAATGATGCATAGTTAAGCTGCTTATTAAACGTTGCGATAGCGACAGCGTAATTAACGTCTACTTCGCGTGGCTCTGTGTGTGGATGTGGTGGATTCTAGTAACCGTGTTGTCAAATGTAGTTCACATAAATGACGAAACAGTGGCGATGCACATGGAGATGGTAATCAGGACCTTCTCAAAAGATGTTCGTTGGATCGTTTTGAAAGTTGCACGAGATGGCGCGTAACAGTTTAAAGTGTCTTCAGATTAAGATGGACTCCATCATACGTAGTATGCCTGTAGCAAACTTCTGCAAAGGACAGAATAGGTAAGATCACATTTACTACGCAAGGCCTACAGGCTGCAAATAGAGAGCGCACTGCACACGACCAATTAACGCTAGGCAAAAACTGTCAACACTGTCATCATTGCCTAGCAGCAGGCACTGGCAGTGGCAATACGTTACATTTAACATATGCATACGATGCCATATAATTATACGATTTAAGGAGCATAAACCTTCTTTAACCAAAATTTAGCTTTGAATTTTCACTGTCATTGTAGACTCTACTCCAGGCATGTATGACTTCTATAGCCAAACCGGCAGTCAATTCTTTCTAACAGCAGTCACAATCATGTTTAACCATTCTTGAGATGTCAAAAGGTTATCAGACACTTACTCTTCGCATAGTCAGCAGAAGTGAATTTCATGGTCCTGGCGGCGTGTTCATAAGCCATTAAATGCTAGTCAACGCCTGAAACAAAAAGTTTTTCAATCGCTCCGTAGACCATGTCTCAGAATATGTTCTAAAATCTGCCTGTGCCCATTGGACCTATTGACCTAGTGACTCCAATTTCGGACACAGTGATGCTTTACCTACCATGATGCTTATCACGATATCACGAGCCTAGGGCGAGCCGTTTAGATTTGTGCGCAATTCTTGCATTTCCTCCTATTACCTTAAGTTAAGGAGTGAATGTTCCCCCTTCTTTTACACCTCTTGAGCTTTGACTTTGACCCCCAGCTTCGACATCCCAACTCGTTTTGACGAATCCCGCCCAATGTGCGTATATCGTGACCGTACGTCGAGCGGTTAAGATTTGTGCCCAACTGTTGACGGACGGACGCCCGGAGAAACGGAGAACGGACGATCATGCGAATTCTAAAGCTGCATCTGACTATGTCAGATGAGCTAAAAATGAGATATAATTTTAAGTAATCGAAATCTGTGTCACAAATACTATATCGAGTAGAATACGCAATCAATACATTATTTAATAAAATTGATGATGTAGGATACAATTATGATATTTCTAAAGTATGCATAAAGAAAATGTCGTTGCTAGTCGTAGGGTTCAATGATGAAGCCTGTTAATTGTAAATTCAACTCTCGAATTATTAACAGAATATATATAAACACGTTTCCCTACAGATAGAAATAGATTGCACTTGTCACATTATGACACATTCTCGATCGAAATCCGAACATATAATACTACTCGAAAATACATCTGGTCCTTTAAATTAGTTACTATTCATTTTCCAGTTCTGGCTAAGATCCTGATACTTACTGGTCCATTTCGTTGCATGTATTTGATTAATAATTATAATAAAATAAAACTTTTCTGCTGCCACTGATAATAGATCAAATGAACGCAGCCTATGAGCACTACGCAGGTCGGTTTGCGAACTTGGTAAAGGTAAATTTATGAGATCCAGTGAAATTATTGGTGCAATTATGATGCTTTTCAATATAATCCCTAACACAATTTATCTGTATAGAGTAACAGGGATAACAGAGATTATTTGACCTGAGACTAGATTATTGCCCACGATTTATGGTTCATTTCAGACGAGCAGTGGGAAAACCACCTTGTGTTAGTCCGCTCTCAAATCCTAATACAGCATTAAGTTCACAACATTTACTGCAGAGTACGACGTTTCAACAAGGTGCACACACGTGTTCCACGTGTGCACACACGCAAACTCGCACGAACACGCGCACGCGCGCACGCACCGCGCGCGCGCCACGCACGCACGCCACACACACACACACGCATACACACACACACACACACACGCACGCACGCACGCGCACGCGCACGCGCACGCGCACGCACACGCACACGCAGACGCACACGCACACACACACACACGCACACACGCACACACAATAGTGTCTGCTAACACGTGTACATGCACCCACTCATTAGTACATGATAAACATTGATATGCACGGCAATCTACATAGATTATTTTATGGGCAGATTATTAATTATTTCAAGAGCGTATAAAGAAGGCCTTCTTATACGAGAAAAAGATATAAGTATAAAGAAGAACCTTCTTAATACGCTTTTGATTATATACGTAACAGATATGTTATTAATGGTCTACACAGGTTTGAATTTTAATTGATTGCGGTAAGATAAACGCCCACTTGGGGTTAAGCTCAAATTTAGTTCACCATGCACAGCAAATAAAGCAACCAAGGCATTTGCTATCAGCATCGTAGTGAAATTTCTTCCCTGGTGGTAAAATTATTCAGTGGCCAATTTTTTGAACAACTTCGCACATCGTGCAATAATTAATGGACACGTGCAATTCAAACCCGTATTTCAAAATTAGTTCTATGATGAAGACGCGGTTATCAATCATTTAAAGTTTCGTCATCGTCCAACAAATGTAACCCCTATTAAAACCCATATGTCAATATATGTGAATTTGACTTGCACACTAACGTCCACCAAGAATACCTAAATCGTTATTGATTTGATTTTAGTTTATATAAGTACCAACATCTATATATATATAACATGGATAGAAACGGATGCCAAATATTTTTCATGAAATCACGCCATCCACAATCATAGCAGTTGCCAACATCTACATTTATTAAATGACTAGGAATGGATGGCAGATATTTCTTATGATATCCGGCCATCCACAGACATGTCGTCATTTGTACGTGACTACGAAAACGCACTCACTCGCTGGCCGTGACGAATACACGAACGGCCATTTTGTGTTTCCGGCTTCCCGCACGCCTACGACGACGCGGCTACTCAAATTGCTCGTTTTTATCCTCGGTCTCCCACGGTATGTTCTGGGCGCGAGCGATGTTAGTGAGCAGGCTCATGACGCGTGCATTCTGGCGAGTTACGTGCGTCATGCGAGACTGCAGGACGTCGATGCTACGCTGCAACTCGTCGTGGTTAGCTTGTAGGGACTGTAGCTCTTTCTGAAATCGGTGAGAGATAGAGTTAGTAAAAGGTCATCAGGTGATCGATCCCCAGAATTACAACGAACCTGTGTTTTGGTTGCAGTATTTTATTCTTACTAAACGTACTCGTTTCATTTCACAATGTTGTACGCACAAGGGCGTATGCATTTGAACACTTGTGTCATAATACTATGACGTCTACGAGAAAATACACTATTAAAAGCAACACCGGTTGTATGCCACCTGCTTGTATATAGTAAACGTATGTATAACCAACAGTTACCTGATCACCCTCGAGCAAAGTCGCAAAAGACTCCTTGTCTGTTGTGCTTTTATAGAAGATCCGCGTCCACTTATGAGTCTTATAGAGGTTCGGAGAGACTGCTATTTCTTTAACTATGAACCTATTAATGTAGAAGTAATTACAAATATAAATAACAGTTAATTTTTTTTACTCAACCGTGCTGGTTTGAAACGTACCGCTGACAAGCTATTGACCACCACACCATCTGGTGGTCAAAACTGATTAACATCAGTTTGCTTTGAGAAATCTTCCTGACAGGAGGTGAAACGTCAGCGGTACGTTTCAAATTTGCACGGTTGAGTAAAAATTAACTTTGTTATTTATATTATTCTACCAACCGAATGAACTTATTTAATGAGTAATTATAAACGCCAGGCCAAATACAAAACGATGGTGAATCAGAAGATACCATTTTTAAACGTTCCATAAAAATATAAATCATTAAACGTTTCAACTATGTATACGAAAAATGTAAGCATGTAATTTTTGTATTTCTTCACATTAATGAGAACACAGACAATGAGACCAAAGCTGACAATATCAATAATGGCAATGTGAAAACATAAAATTTTTTACATGGCTGCAAAAAAACATCACAGCGTAACTAGTACAGAGTAGGTACAGATCATGCCACAATTTTGGAAAAAAGCAGGTTTTGATAGGTGCTATTTTTACGGAGGAGAGGAAGAGAGAGAACACGTGCTTTTTTGAAAATTCCTATTACGAAAATGGTAACAGATAATCAGTTTTATTAATAGGAGTGAGACTGGTCAAAGTAAAAATTCATCTCAGTACATAGTAAATTCACTGTTAGCGCATGCACTTGGTCGGTTAGTCGGCCAATGGCACATACTTTTTGCGCAGCCAATGTGGAAGCAGATTTTCGACACCGAGCGTGAGTTCCACCTGCATGGCAAGACGACGCAGTACTGCATTGTTCTGCACCTCCTTGATGTCATCGACTGCCAGACCGACCTGACGTAACGACAAAATCGATTAAGTTCGTTCGTGGTTCGATCAAACTTCCCGAGTAGGGGTGATTCCCGCTTACAAGTACCCTGGATTAATTTAGCATATATGGGAACTATATATGCAGGGGTCCCAAACTAGGATTGCACACTACCTACCAGTAAGTTCATGATCAGAATCGTCATGATCATGATGAAGATGACGAAGATGACATAGGTGATCTCGTAGTGCACTATCTGCCCCTCGTCCGTCGACCCAGAGTTGAACAAGGCGTCGTACTCAAATTCGCCGATCATCATGATGGTTGTTTTCAGTATTGAATTCCACGGGTCGCGGAAAGGAAGCTAGGCAAAAGTACGAAACGGGCCTCGATAAGCTTTCCCGACAAAATGAATTTTAAAATAGAGGAGTTGGACAAAAGAAGTAAACGACAATAGGAGTTAGTTTGCAATGTTGATGTCTACTAAGTGTAATACAAAATCAAAAAGTGAAAAGGAAAAAGTGGCGACTTTGAAGATTGCTAGTGTATTGCATGCGGTGCACTGCTGCACTGCTTGCTTTTTTTGCAGAGGATACGACTGAATGTTGTGGACCTACCTGGTTCTGTAGAAGCACATAGAAGGCCAGGGCAAAGGCGACGATGAAAAGAAAGAAGACGACGAAGAAGTGGCAAAATGTGGAGAAGATCCATGTGAACATAACGACATAAATTCCAAACTGAGGCACTTTCTGTATGAAAAGGATCAGGTCAATCCAAGCCAGAAAGATAGCAATAGCTCCTAGCTGCCACTGCCAGTCCTGCAATGTAACATTCCAATGTAATTAAGACCCATGGCATGGCCATCTACACATTAAAATATAGCATAAGGCTAATTTGATCAGTGGGCCTGAATATTTCTCATGACCAATTGTTATAAATCAACTCATAAAAATACAACGAAGGAACCCCGTGTGGTAGGACTTGTTAGGTTGTGTTAGGAACAGTCTCCATCTTTATCCTCTCTCGAGCACTCTCACATCACAACAATAGGTGGCGTTAGCTACCACGTATTGTTACAAGTGTAGATCTTATTCTGCCTTCTTAGACGTTGCACGTGCCCCTTCATGTGTATCGTCTCCTTAAATAAAGCTCCCTGTACATAGCTCCTGTAGTTCTTATTGCACATACCTCTCTTATTCCTGTTTGCTTTGAACAGTTTGTGAAGTCTATAACGAGTAACAGAGCTGAGATGAAAGATCCCCACTCAACTAGATTCTCCAACGCAATGTACCTCTTTCGAAAAGCACAGATCTGAAACACCTATTACGAAAATGAAGCGAAAATTATGCAACTGCCATGATACACCTACTGCACATTGACTGCGTGATTTTCACAGGACTTCATGACTATTCTGTCATTTGCATCTCCTCTCTGCTCGATATTTCTTATATGATAGAAACAATAATTTTATAATTAAACAGTTACAATTACACTTTTTCAAAAATTGTTGATGAGACAATCATTATATCACAGAAAGTTATTTATATGTCATGTTTTATTTGATATTCTAAATTTATTCTACATAATTGTCTACAAGTAAAATGTGACAAATAGCTTGATAGATCATTCTACAACCTATATGATGGAGGGCTCCATTGTCCGACCACCATAGGCACGTTCAAGTTTTAAAAGGAAAAGAAAACCAACTGAAGTATAGCAAGATGTAGCCTTATGATCCTACTAGGATTCACATACCTCCTTAAGAACAAACACTGCAGCCAGTATCATGATGGCCACCTTGGCTACATTCTCAAACATAGAACTCCTTGGTGGTGAATCTATCCCATCCAAGTTTGTGCAGTTGAATTTTGTTTGGTTGTCAGCTGAGTTTGCCAGCATTCTGCAGGCAGGGGAGTGGCATGAATTAGAATTATAAACATTAAAATATAGAAGGTCTAGTAGATATGTGCTAGACAGAATAGTTTTATCAAACTATACGTGAAAACTACCTATGACACTAAATAAGCAGATATCCTATAAATAGCCACATAATTATACAAGAGTGACATAGCCAAAATCAATATTATATATATATATATATATATACAGGGGTAGAAATTAACTTTTGAACAAGGGAGTCCAACGGACTCCCTACCCTCAAAAAGAGGGAGTCCGCAGCAAAATGAGCTAGTCCGCAGTCTGTGGTTCAAAATTAAAGATATTAATACGCATGTGGTTATTTTTAAGATTCATGCAGTTGCACGTCTGCCAAATTTTCTTTGGGCATTAGCTGAAAAAATACAGTAATTCCGCGAGGCCGTGCTCCGGAACGAACTAGTTAGTATGGCAAAATTTTGAGGGAGTCACACGGACTCCTGCATATGTCAAATCAGGGAGTCCGACAGTAAATCAGGGAGTATTTGACTCCGGACTCCCGTTAATTTCGCACCCTGTATATATATCTATCTCTATATATATATATATATATATATATATATATCTATATATATATATATGTATTATATAATATCATTATTGCTCGTGCATGCACTAGTAAATTTTACTATTAATTCAATAACAGCTAATAAAATATTACTCACTGCATTCTGTAGGTAAATGGTGGATCAGTGATGATCAGGTAGCTCGTCAGGAACGAAAGGTAGATGAGAAACACGAATAGGTTGCTGTAGTATAGCCAGCGCCCAAAGCGCGCCCATTTACGTTTCAGCAGCATCGTCACCAGGGGGTGACTCAGTAAGTGCTCCCTCTTTGCTTTCACCTGTCATTTACAACAGCGATGGCAAAACATCAATCATGTTGACATAACACTTAAAAATGTGCATTGTTTTGCTGTTTAATACCCCCATAAAATTGAGCACCTTCCAGTATGTGATGTGGAATAAATAGAATAGAAATTGGCAACTTCACCTTCAACATTCTGGTAAAGGTGCGCTCATTTATTGATTTGCAATTTTCATTACACCTTTTTCCCATGCACACTTGCACAACATGTATCTGTACCATAGCAGAAGGCCTCTATTCTGCTCAAATGCATCACTATAGAGATCCCTAAATTTTGAATATTTTTGCATGTTGGAAAAGGAAGAGAGTAGGGAGGGGAGGTTACCTATAATACACCAATAAAATACCAAAGAGAAACGTAAGAAACCAAAGTAATGTGAGGTACTGCATGCAATACACCTACCATTATCATCAGTGGGTGGTTGGACTTTTGCAAACTGGGCTCCTCTGTGTAAGGCGCAGCTTCTGTCGTGAGATATCCCTCATCAGTGTAGATATTTCTGTTACTTCTGAAAGTGTTAAGATATACACATAAGTCATAAATGTGTACTGTGGTTAGGGCTTCTCTTTAACGAATTTGTCCATAACATTACTTTCTAAACAACAGTAAAAAATATTATTAAAAATAATAAAGGTAAAATATGACTTGAATCCTCATCAAAATAACTACTATAAATCGAAAACAATATAAAATAATTTTATATTCCCATGTGACGCCACTGTCGCCATTCAATTTTTTTTAAACAGGCCTATAGCTGCCAAAACACTGCAAAGGTACCTTAAGGTTAAGAGAATCATAAAGTTCATTAACTATACCTTCCCTGTGCATAGTGTATCAGTAATATTTAAAGTAATTACGTCACCGTTAATAGTAAAAAAATAACAATATTTCCACTTTTCCACAAAATACAAGTAATTGTGTTCACTTTTTATGGTTAAATTGCTGCATTATACTTCTTATTTTACTATATTGTTCGATGTGAACATGCATACACTCGTGGCTCATACATAGCCCATAGCAAGCAATTAATGTTAGGAACACTAATATCAAATCGTCCAGGTTTTTTGGATTTTTAACTAGTTGAGAAACAATCTTATCAAGTAAGTATTTGACAATACGTTTATAGTCCCGTTAGTTCTTACTTTTAATGTAAAAAAATGGCAACAAAAATTTTACAAATTTTACTATAGAAAATTCGAGACTTAGTCAATTTAATCATATAATGACCCAAAAGCATTGGTCTATGCCAATCTCTGAGTTTGCTATAATTCAGAAATTGATCACACTATATTACCAGTTCATCATTCTACTACCAAACCGATGGATGAACAGTCAGCGAGCTGCTAGTAAGCTGCTAAACAAATGGTTGCAAGACTGAGAAAAAGGTCATCTACGTTATGAGGTCTAAACAGTGCAACCCACCTCCCCAAGGAATGAAGGTCATGCAGCCGTACACAATCCTTCATGTTAAGCGACACAAGAAGCCCAATGCTTGTGCTGGATTCACGTTACCTTCCTTCCGTTGTTACTCAGGTACTGAGTATCCCCAGAACCAGATAAATAATTACACATCAGTTCTACAGTTATAAACAAAACCATGTTGGATCAGCTCAGCTCTAGCGAATCAAGCAATGTACTTACGAGTGCAGACTGCCACTAGAGGGTATTGTTGGCTTTGTCCAGACACTGTAGGTGTCGTCGAGGAACTCAAAGTTCAAGGTGAGTTGGTAGTGGGGATGTTCAGAGTGAACATTGTTGGCACGGATGCACTTAGTGAACACAGCGTCTGCCACATCTGAGACAAACGTTGAACGAATAGAGATATAGCTAATGCACAACAAAGCTATACTTAACCCTAACCCTACTGCTAAAGAAGTACTTGTACTAAGAAAGAAGTACCAGTGTAGAGTGGATATGATACTATGATTTTCATACAGCTATCAGCTAAATAGTGGCTATAGGGACGTCAGATGCATGCATGTTATTGCCTGCTATAGCATGTTCTGACTGAAAGGTTCAGTAAACTTGCCAGCAGTAATACAAGATTGATTTAATATAACCAATACAATTAGCATCGATAAACATATGAAGGTGTGCTTTTGGGATACAAATGGAGATGGCCAAACTTGTGCTAACCTATATCATGAATGTCTTATTGACATTCTAAAATGTTTAATCTTATCATTTGGCTTAGGATGTCATTATGGAAACTGCAACACTAATAAATGTGACTTTCAGTCAGCCTACTCAACAATAAAATCAGCTACAAATAGTGATATACACTAATTTACTTTTAATTGGCACCCTTCTAATAGGCCGTTCCTATAGACTTCGAACACAAAGATGGTTTGGCTGAATGTGCAGCAGAAATGGCATAATCGTACTCTACATGACAACTCTGCTTACGAACACTAAGCATCACTATTATTAAGCCACACCCCTTAATTTCACGCACCAGGCATCTTCTGGATAAGTTTTCTCATGGGCGTTTGGCGACGTCCATTCGCCTTGTTCACTGTGTCGTTTCTGAGTGACTCTTCCCACGCCGCGCTTTCGATAATCGCCATGGCTACGTCTGTACGGCCGCTGTTGATGGCACGATCGAGACAGTTGAAGCCATCGCTGTCGCAGTACGCCACGCTGGCACCCCATCTCAGCAGCATCTTGACGCAAGTGACATGGCCCTTGGTGCAGGCCAGGTGTAGAGGCGTGGTCTGCACAAATTACAAAACAAAGAAAACGCGATAATCGTAAAGCTAGCTGAGTTTTTGACATCTACACGGCGAAATAAAAATCAACAAAGATTTTTCCGTAGTACAGTGTGCTGCCACTAAGTGACATTTCTTTCTAAACAATGCATTTCTATCAACATATAACATTTGGCATGCTGAGCCCAATGTGAACCAAGAATCAGCAACACATACTTAAATAAAAACGTACACATACCTTTGATATGTCGGTGGGGTCCCCCTAATAGAAACGTATACATACCTTTGATATGTCGGTGGGGTCCCCCTAATAGACACGTACACATACCTTTGATATGTCGGTGGGGTCCCCCTAATAGAAACGTATACATACCTTTGATATGTCGGTGGGGTCCACGTTACAGCCAGCTTCAAGCAGCACCTCGATGACATCCACGTGGCCATGGTAAGCAGCACAGTCAAGCGGCGCCCACAGATTGCAGTTCCTAGAGAGATGTTAACAACGAAGCAGAGAGTTTTTCAGCGGTTCGCGTTAAATACAATTTACTTGCGGTGGTGAGAGAGAGAGAGAGGGGGAGAAAGGAAGGGAGAGAGGGAAGGAGACAGGGAGGGAGGGAGAGAGGGAGGGAGGGAGAGAGGGAGGGAGGGAAGGAGGGAGTGAGGGAGAGAGGGAGAGAGGGAGAAAGGGAGAGAGGGAGGGAGGGAAGGAGGGAGTGAGGAAGAGAGGGAGGGAGGGAGAGAGACAGCCCATCCATGAATGACCAGCTAATGCACATTTACTTCTGTCCCTGACTACATATCATCCTAATAAGACAGAAGGCCATTGGTTAATTCAGGATTCTGAGGAAAGGTTCGGCTGTGTTTTGAAGGAAATTTTAAAAGAAAATATCATGTTAATAAATATATATATGAAAGAGGTAGCACACTCATAAACATATCGGAAAAAATTTCAAGGCTGTAAAACTGTCAGCAAAAAATCTTTGTTCCAATACGCCTGAAGACAAGCAAATACTAGAAGCAAAAAAGAAATTTAGGCCTTACATAGCTAGCCTCTTATACACACCAGCCTCACATATTATTTGCAGAAGATACTAGTAGTGTCATACCTTGCCTGCACGTCTGCTCCGTATCTGAGCAGCAGACGTGCGATGTTTCTGTGTCCGGCCAACGCAGCAAGGTGCAGCGGGGTGTTCGCATCCTCATCCTCATCGCTGACGATCATGTGGCTGTGCTGCAGTAGCAGCTGACACGTCCTGCGATGAAAAACAATTAAAACCATAACAACAAAAACAACAACGGCGAGAGAATTGCCGCCCTTGACGCTGCCGCCACCAGCACCACCATCGCCGCAGCCACCTTACGATCTAAACTTTTGATAATGCCGAAGCTAAGAGATCATGCAGCACGGCAGGAAAATAAACACACATGGTTATGTGTAGGCTTCGACTAATCCATAACCAGACCAATTTGTCCCACAGTACAGGCTCAGTTAATTTGCTCTGGGTGGCTAAGCTGAAATGTTTCACACATACAAATAGTCATACAGAAACATTCGCCTACTTCGTCCTGCCGTCCTGAGCTGCCAGGTGAAGTGCCGTCTTTTCCCACTCGTTCTTTTCATCAATTGTCGCGCCGTGTTTTAGAAGGAGGGCAACACAGTCGCGGAACCCATTCTGAGCCGCCATGTGGAGTGCTGTCACGCCAACACGATCACCGCAGTTTATCCTACGCCGAGACTTATAGTGGCTGAGCAGCTCCTGTGTAAAATGATGCCAATTTTATTATAAAATATTGATAAATATTTATATTGAAACTACATGCATAAAAATAATTACAAATAACAACAACAAAAAAGCGTTGCTATTTAGGTAAACGTTAGATATTTGGTTACATTTAATATTTGTAGGAAATAAAATAAACACAGCTAAAACAGGGAGGCTATAACAGTAAAACATGGAGTATACATTTGACACTGGACCCACGATAACTTTGGAAGCATGTGATGTAGATCCTGTAAGATAATCACAGTGACATTTGATTCACCTTCAGTGCTTCCAGGTGGTTTCCCTGTGCTGCCCAATAGACGGCAGACTTTTCATTTTTGTCCACAGCAGCGATGTTGGCTTTGTATTCCAGCAGTTGCTGTATGGCCTCGGTGTGGCCAAGAGAAGCAGCAGTGAGCAGCGGGGTAAAGTTGTCCGTGTTCTTGTGTTCAATTCTGGCTCCGCTGTGAACACATGTGAGGACACAGTCAGAGTCACACGTAGGACAAGGAATCGAGACAGTTTGTAAATAAATTACATATTATATGAACAATAATGGTAACAGCATACCTTACTGTCACTTATTTTGAAAACGTATCCAAATCCTGAAAAGTTGTGACAAATTAGAAGCGAGTGACTGGGTACATACACAATGAAACCTGCCATAACACGACATAGGACAAGCATTCATTCACAATAACCTTGCATCCAATTGTGATCACAGAAAAGCCTATACTGCTGCATTTGGACCTATAATATCATACATATATTGCTAAATAATGTAACACGCAGCATTCAAATTTGTGTACAATGTTAACATTACATTATTTTACGAAATGCACTAGCAGACGTACTTGGTGATAAGATAGACGACAACGTCGCCATGGTTATTGGCGGCGGCACGATGCAAGGGTGTCTCACGTGTGTCATTCATAGTGTCGATGACGGCATTGTGTTGAAGAAGCAGCTTCACAATAGGCAGGTTTCCAAAATGTGCCGCCAAGTGGAGCGGTCGATTGTAGTGGTTTCTGTGTGTATTCACGTCTGCACCTGGAAGAAAAATGTTCAGTTGAATTTGACAAGAGAAAAATTGATTCATAAGAGTACATGGAGTCTATATTAATTAAGAACACGATTGATGGTAAAAGTCTATTTCTAATTTGCTTGTTTGCAGTTCAGTGCACAGTTGGAAGAAGCATGTTTTTGTTAATGTACGTAAAAAGAGTCCATCTACATCAGAAGTAGATAATAGGGAAGGAGTGTGACTTCAATAAACAAGGGAAATTCATCATTTACTAGCCTTAGAATAACTACGATTTACTACGCATAACTCAACCAACTTGAGCTCAAATCGTACACAGTACATTCGCTTAGCATCGTGCGAAATCGTTTCCTCGTATACACCCGCAATCCGGAGATACAGACTAAAACGTACGACACGATTCTCCATTCTGTTGGCAGCAAACCGAATCCATAACCCGCCTAACTTGAAACAATAGGCAGCTATACTAACGACTCTTGCGCACTCTTGTGCCCTCGGAGATGCGGTGTGGCTCGCTGGAAGATTGGACATCGACGCAACACTCGGTGAGCTAATCTATTTACAGCTGGTATGCCCACGCACGCACGCCCACCGCAATCAGCAGCAGCTCCAGCTCCAATCTCCCAGCGAGCCACACCGCATCGCCGAGGGCACAAGAGTGTGCAAGAGTTGTTAGTAGCTGCCTATTGTTTCAAGTTAGGCGGGTTATGGATTCGGTTTGCTGCCAACAGAATGGAGAATCGTGTCGTACGTTTTAGTCTGTATCTCCGTATTGCAGGTATATATGAGGAAACGATTTCGCACGATGCTAGGCGAATGTACTGTGTACGATTTGAGCTCAAGTTGGTTGAGTTACGCGTAGTAAATCGTAGGTATTCTAAGGCTAGTAAATGACGAATTTCCCATGTTTATTGAAGTCACACTCCTTCCCTATTATCTACTTCTGATCTATATTTATCCATACCAATGCAGTACTCTGCATGTACAAAGATGGACACCCAATGCGCGTGGCACAATGCATTACTGCGCAGCACATTACCATTCTGTAATAGTATCTCGCATATGTCATAGCTCCCTCCATCAATCGCCAGGTGCAGAGCAGTGCTATCTTCAGAGTCCTGGTCAGTCACCATCTGTAAACCGTTTCAAAGCCACACACGCGCACACATAAATATCTTCAGAATTTTTATAATACAGCCATGTAGACAACTCAAGATCATATATGTGAATAAATATGATCCAAAAAGCAAATGTTATTATTACAGGCAGGCCAGACAAACAATTCAACCTTTCAAGTTAGTTGTTACATAATTGTTTCCACTATGTTATCTGGCAGTGACACATACGTTATACACACGGTGGGATAGAACATAAGCTTACAAGTAATAATAAACATACTTGTGACACAATAGCCCAACCCTCGGTATTATGTCCAGCTTCTAGCAACATCTGCATGATCAGTGTGTGACCTTCCACGGCAGCTAGATGAAGAGGTGTTCTCTTATCGAAGGTCAGAGCACGCAGCTTGGCTCCGGCACTTAGCAAGGCTTCAACGACGATGACATGATCGTACACACATGCAAGGTGCAACGCTGTGCTTTCTTGTTTGTCCACTGCCTATTATGGAGGAACACACATTATGTAAGTTCGTACACATACTGCATTTATTGGTTACCCATCCGTCCATCTAGCTGTATACACGCATGCCTGCACGGACGCACGCACGCATGCACACCAATCCCCGCGGCATTTTCCAGGAACTTAACCTCCTGCAATTCGTAAGCGATTACCGAAGCTTCATTGGCTATCAGTTACTTTAAATGCTGCACACACACGCACGCACACACGCACGCACGCACTCAATCACGCACGCACGCACGCACGCACGCACGCACACACACACACACACACACACGAACCTCAATGTCAATGTGTGCGAACTGTATCAGATCCACAGCTGCCTCTAGATTACCACGCATGGCTGCAAAATGCAGTGGTGTCGACCCGTACATGTTCTTAATGTTGACTAGAGCTCCCTACCAAAGAAAAACGCACAGACATAAAAATTAAGCATTCTACATACTGTTATGAAATTACACATCCGAGTGTAAAATTACTGAATATATATTCTATGTAAGTTTGGTATCAGCGAAGAACGCTAACAATTTCTACTCCTTTTCTCTCCCTTCTCCTCTCTGTATCTCCTTTCTTCTCCTTTCACCTCTCACTATCTATCTCAATCAGTACTGACAAATAGAAATGAAACGGAAATGGACCACAGATTTACCCTTCATCTCTCATCAAAATGAAATTATACCTTTTTACCTGAAATTCACTACCGCTATATTCTTAGCATACGAGTCCAGTATGTGTGGTTCGTTTATGACCCCACACTAACTGAGCAGAATTGTGAAATGGTGCATGCGTCAATGGGTAGAAATAGTGTTCAAAAAGACATTACAGGATAACTTGCGTTATCCTGAAAACGTCCGATTAAATCTGTTTGTTTGTAGCCAATGCAGAAACCAATCATGACAGCTGAATGAGATGTATAATCACCTTGCTAAGGAGAAACTTGATGACACTTTCTTGCTCACTGGCCCCTTCTTCTTCTTCTTCATCTTCATCTTCAGAGTTAGTAACATCAGTTGAAACAGTTGGCTGATCTTCATCTTCGCCTTGCTAGAAAAATTAGGAAAATCTCATAATTTTAATAATTTCAAAACCTTCCCATGTGTAGCAGGGGATATATGTAACCCAACACACTAGAAATTTCTCCATCCACAACTGCCTTTTTGGTCCTACAAATCACCAGTTCTTATGTGTCTGATACTCTGATAGTGATACAATAATTTCTATCACAACTTTATGAAGTATCATTTTCCATGAAGTCATGGATCTAAGATTAAGAACCTAGAATCTAAAAACCAAGATAGCTGGTACAAATTATTTCTTTGTGATTATCACTGTGGTTACTGAAATAATTTATTGGTGGCAATGTCCGGTATTCTCACAACATAGTTCCAAGAAACATGTGAGATTGTTATAGAAATCAATATTATAGTTTGGGCTAATAATCATCACATATTTTTTGTAAATATAACAACATGCATTAAGTGTTCTAACAGATATTATTACCTTTGCCACATGCACTTTACTTGCTAGTTACAAAAAAAGAAACTAGTACTTCAATCTTGACTGACTGACTTTTTAAATTTTAAATTGCACTATGAATCTGTGTACATTACATCCAACAGAGATGCAGCTTTTTAAAGCCATTATATTTTTCATAATTTCATAAAATATAACAAATCATAGATTAGCCCAAGGAGAGGCAAATGGTCAAAGGACACATGCTCTTCAGCTCATGAACACATGCTCTTCAGAAACGAAGTAAAAATTCATATAATGGGGGCTCTAATAGCAAAAGCAGTTCAGTCCTTTGTTAACAGTCAACAAATCCATGTTTAACCCTCCTCTTGAGGGTCAAAAGGTTATCCGACACTTACTCTTTGCATGTCAGCGGAAAGTACATTTCATGGTCCTTTCAATAAAGCCATAAAAATGGTAGGTCACCGCTGAAACAAAAAGGTTTTCAATCGCTCCGTCAGACCATGTCCTCAGAAAATGTCTAAAATCTGCCCTGTGCCCCATTGACCTGTGACCTCCAATTTCGGCACAGTGATGGCTTTTCCTACCATGATGCTATACACCAACTATCACGAGCCTAGGTTGAGCCGTTTAGATTTGTGCCGCAATTCTGCATTTTCTCCCTATACCTTAAGTTAAGGAGGGAATGTTCCCCCTTCTTTTACACCTCTTGACCTTTGACCTTTGAACCCCAGCTTCGACATCCCAACTCGTTTTCGGATTACCCCGCACGCCCCCAATATCGTGACCGTACGTCGAGCGGTTAAGATTTGTGCCCAACTGTTGACGGACGGACGCACGCACGCACGCACAGACAATCATGCGATTCTACAAGATGCATCTGACTATGTCAGATGAGCTAATCATAGCTGCCACATCAGTACACAATCTATTATCCGAAACCCTTGGGATCAGACACGTTTTGGAATTCTGAATTTTTCGGATTTCGGAATGGTATTACAGTTCAGATATACATACCGTATATCCTGCAACTAGCCAGTACTAAAACTCAAATTGTTTCTCACTATTACCCATAGGGGAATTTGAAGCTCTTTTGACATTTCACGTCCTCAAATTCACACACAAAAAAACATTAAAAATATCAGCGAGCAACAAAGGCATGTCTGACTGGTAGGCAGTATAGGAGCGATAAGACACAATTAATTGACTCAATAATGGGTTGAGCGTGGGTCGCGCCAGGTCGAGTTTTGGCGCCAAACGCGAGATTTGGTGTGCAAACGACCTCCACGAAAAACCTTTCGGTTTTCGGAGCTTTACGGTTTTCAGAATTTCGGATAATAAATTGTGTACCATAATTATTTCAAAACAGCGGTTGTCCACTTGTTTGCAAAACAAATTTGCCCAAAAATTTATTTGCACCGTATGTGCGAGTTTGGACGGAAACGCTTCTCTCGTTTGGATTTTATTTTGTCCCAAATAAAATCTGGGAACTGGTTACCATGGCAACAATAACCAAAACAAATGGTTGACGGCGACAGCAGGCAGCAGATGGAAGATATCAGGAATGTCATGATATATTATGACACTCCTGAAGATATCACTACAAACTCCCACAGCTTGCAGTAAGTGCTTACTTGCTGTAAGAGGGTAATACTTGCCTTTTTCTGCTCACCAACCTGTATTACATTCAGGTTAGGCACAGGTTCAATGTCCTGGGATCCTTGTTGGCTGCTATGTTGACTTGAACGCAGTGCCACAAGACTGTTAGCAAGGGCTTTTACCTTGGAAGCAGCATAGCGCAAATCAAGCCAAAATGCAACAAAAGCGCAGAATATGGAAGAGAAATGAAAAGCAGATGATAGCATCGCACCAACTTACAGTAAAGAGATGCAGAGATAAGACATAAAGATGAGTATATAATAAGAATGGCTGAACTTGGCCAAAGATAATTGAAAAGGATAGTTTCATCACTAATAGGAATTGCTTTCGTTATATTATATTACCAGTTGGGAACACCATGCTCTCAGCATGCAATCTTGAGAAGAACTTCACACCAGTAAGATTGGTTTATCTTGTTCACGTATATATGGGCTTGCATGTAATATGCAAGCCTGTTTTACTCATACCTTTGCTGCTGGTAGACGGCTGATGATGGCCGCCAGACTTTTTCTGTGGACAAGTCTATGCCGTCTGGCTGCATAATGCAGTGGGGCCAGTCCATCTGTGCCCTTGTTGTTTACATCTATATAAAACCATATGTAACTACTGCAAAGGTTGGCTATCTGACAAGTACTGCTCTTCCATTTCTGCTCCAGCAAATGTCACTGCTTCTGCTGCTGATGCTAATATTATTATTCCTACTGCTGCTGCTGATGCTATATACTGTTTCTATTTCTGCTACTAGTGTTATTGCTGTTTAGTTCTGTGATTTCATTCACATAACATCTGCAGTGCATAATAATAGAGAAATATGACACAATAAACGCAAGAAAAACTAAAGAAAATCAAGTATTAATATAAAGAACTAGTTGTCATTTATCACCTCATCATATGGTCCAATTGCATGCCAACCTACAGAATATCTGTACAGAATCTACAGAATATCTCATCTACCCTACTTGGCAACACTGCCTTGTACATAGGGACACAACTACAAACTATACCTGCGCCACTGTCTACTAGTAGTCTGGCTATGTCTATATAGTTATGCCTTGCTGCATAGTGCAGTGGTGTCATGTCATTCTCGTCATTTTTGTTGATGGCACGAGACACGTCAGGCAGCAATTCGATAAGCCTTGCCAGCTGCTGTGGATCGCCATCCCGAGCCGCCTGTAAAATAAACATGTTATTCACGTAATCCTTTAAATTAATGGCCAGGATATCCTGGTGGGACGTGGCTAACTTCACATCCTGGTGCTAACAGGATAACACATCACTGATTTTTACCTACCTGGTGAAGAGTCAAATGAACCACGTCGTGTGCAAGAACAGAGACATCGTGGTCTTCCAGTCGTTGCAGAGGTATTGCTACCACAGGCATCAATTCTGAAGTGATGCCATTAGTCTCCTCAACCACGTATTTGCTGCATAAATGCAAGTGTTGGACACTCAGACCATTCATGATAAAAACCACATGTTGAGCTATTGCTCATCTCACTCATCATTTAGTGTAAGATTTTATTGAGAAAATATTATAAACATAATTCATTGCAAATTTCGTTCTGAAGAACAACATTATGAAGTTTGCCATGTCAAATGTCAATCAAATGTCATGCCTGTAAAACAAATTTCCCCGATGTGGGGGTGAGCAGCAACATTACCCACAATGTGAAAAGCAACTCATAATAATTCGGCGCAAGAGCCAGCCCACTTTCCGCTTTCCTAGTAATTCCTACGGGTCAATATGGCGGCCGCCGATTCCGAACCCCTTATCTTATGAAGTTATCTAATAATAATATCTTATCTTATCTTATTTTATGGAATACAGGATACTATAGTATAGGTAGTACCATGCAATACCATATATATATGATATATGCCTCATTTAACGAAGCCTCATGCATCCATCAAAATTGGACAAATTTGTCAAAATACTCACTCTGTCATGTTGTTTCTAGAAATCTTAGGATATAACAAGTCTCTTCTCCATAAAACAATGCTTCTTGATATTGTTCAACATGTGTAAGACTAAGAGGTTACTCATCGGCGATTTCCGCTACTAATTCAACAGATACTGAGATAACACCTTAATGCGCACGCCCTTACGAAGTTTTAGCAGTAGTCATCCGCACTGAGTGTCATAAAAAAGACAAATCTCGCAGCTTTTTCTACCGCGGACGTAAGAAACTCTGCATTGTACCTGAAACCTGATTGTATCCAAGGATATATTATGTATGTTTACGTATCATTGATTGCTGCGATTATCTATGCTGCGAGTGAAGATAATTATTCATGTGTTTACATTACGTGCTGCCATCTAGCTTATAGACTGGCGCTCTGTCTCTACACGGTCGAGAGAGCATCATGTTAGAGCAAAAAGAGCGAATCCGTCTATCTCTATAGCCTGGTACCCGGTCCCACTCTCGGCTTAGTTACTCGATGGCTCGATAGATCTCGTTGAATCGAGGTGGGAGCGAGTACCAGTCTATCTATCTCTATAGCCACAGACGGATACAGTTACTTACCCGGTTCGTCTAAAGACCGAAGGGCACCGAAATGGAGAGACACCAAAATGCACTGAAAGTAAACAGAGTAACCACACCACATCGTTGACGTTGTTGGCGTGTTCTTGTATACTTATGCACGTGTGTTTATTTGTGCGTGTGTAAGCGTGCGTGCGTGTGTCCGACACGAAAGACAAAGCAAGGCCGTTGCTAGCGCGGCGGGGGGGGGGGCAAGGGGTCTCCTGCAAAGTTGTCTTAGTTGATGAAATACTGTGGATACTGTGGACAAATCAACACTGTGGATCGCAGTAGAATCTTACTATAAATTGGCGAATTTCTGTCTGTGTGTGTGTTTGTGTGTCCGGCTATACGTTTCCGCACCGCTCAACGGATCCTCTCCAAACTTGGTCGGAACATTCTACAGATCATGACACGTAACGTAACGACGTTGCATGGCTATTTTTTTCCACAGTTTTATTTTTTTCACATTCCACGTTTAAAAACATCCAAAAAGTGGGAAATTTTTGCATCAAGCGCGGTGCAACGTCACAACACGAAAACACAATGGCAATGTGAAAAACAATGTATAACCAAAGGCGCTCCATCTAAGATTTTCTAAGTTGCTCCATCTAAAGGCCAAACAAATGCCAAACACAAAGGCTCCATCTATTTAAAGGCCACCGCACACCAGCCGATTTTTACAAACGATGAAGCGATGAAACGATGAAGCGATGAAGCGATGAAGCGATGAAG